AGTCCAAGTGTTTCTCTCTTCTTACTGCCTGCAGATCCAGATGTAGAACTCTCAGCTATTTCTTTTCTTTTCATTCTTCTTTCATAAAAATACATCCCAATGATACCCTCCCTCTCTCTACTTCTCCCATTTCCTCTCCACACTCTACAATTTCCCCTCTCCCCTAGATCCACTGCTCCTCTGTTTCCCTTCAGAGAAGAGCAGGCTTCCCAATGATATCAAACCAACATGGCATAACAAGATGCAATAAGACCAGGCAAACCCCCTCATATCAAGGCTGAACAAAGCAACCCAGTTGGAGAGGGAAAACAGGCTATTAGACTTAGAGAAATAAGTCTCAGCTATTTTTCTAGTACCATGTCTGCCTAAATGCTGTCATGCTTCTTACCATGATAAGAATGGACTAAACCTCTGAAACTGTAAGCCGGCCCCAATTAAGTGCTTTCTTTTCTAAGAGCTTCTATAGTCATGATGTTTCTCCCCAGCAATAAAACTCAAAGACAGGCACCCTTATTCTCATTCCTGATTTTAGAAAAGCAATTTCTTTGTCTTCCACATTTAGCATAATGTTGATTATAGGTTTATCACATCACCTTTATCATGTTAGGATATTTTCCTTCTTATTTTTTATTGATTCTTTGTGAATTTCACATCATACATCCCAAACCCACTCATTTTCCAGTCCTTCCATATCCACCCTTCACCCTTATAAACCCCTACAAAAAAATAAAAATAAGGAATAAAATATTTCGTGGTGGAAGCTATAGCATGTCATAGTATGTCCCACAATATACCTTTTTGTCCAGCTTACTTTCGAATGTTCGTTGCAATGAGTCGTTGGTCCAGCTTAAGGCCTCTGATTTCTGCAACACTGTCAATACTTGATCCTCACCAAGACTCCTCTCAGATATCCTGTTTCCCTGAATCATAGAGATCCTGAAGCTTTGGTTCTGCAGGACCAGGCCCTTCATGAACTCCAGCAGCACATAGGTGGGATAGATGTTAGGATGGGCCAGCTCAAAGCCCTGGATCTGGGCCTGGGTAGTAGTTAGGCCAAATCTCCTTTGCCTCAAAAAGGGGGCAAGCTTTCCTGGATCCATGCCAACAGATCTAACTCTCCTGCCCAGGGGAGGGGTGGAGCTAGCTCTCTTATGCCCAAGCTGCCAGGGTCAGCTCTCTAAGAATGTACAAGCAGGGGGTAGGGTCAGGTCTCCTGAGTGCCACAGTCATCAAAGGTCAAGGCCAGCTCTCCTGCACTAACATCACGGGGGCCAGAGCTTCCTGGCATGGGTGTGGGAGAGCTGGCCCACACCTTTTCTTCTTTCTTTTCTTCAGACCCTGTATCACATTGGGATGTTGAACTTCGGAAAAAAATACTTTTCTGTGGCTATTAAGATGATTGTGTGATTTCTGTCCTAAGTGTATCCATGCTGTCACATTATATTTATTGATATTTGTTTTATGTTGAACCACTCCTGTAATCATGTGAGGAAACCTGTTTGGTCATGGTATACAATCTTTTTGAAGTGTTCTATAACTTGTAAGGATTTTTAAAATGTCTTCAATTTTTATATGATGATATCATTGCATCATTTCCTCCCTGTAAGCCTTCACATATAGCCCTTTTTACCTTCCTTTAAAATTCATGGCCTTGGATCCAGGGCTTCAGCTGAATATATAAGAGTGGAGGGCCCTGCTGGGCATAGGTGGAAGAAGAGATCCTTGACCTCATGAAGGCTGGACACCCCAGGGCGTGGGAATTTTGAGGGTGGGGAGGTAGGAGTGGGGGGAGTAGGTAGGGGTTACATCCACAGAGAAGAAGGAGGAGGGGTGAGGGGATAGGAGCTTCCTGGGTGGGTGGGGGATGGGGTAAGGGGACAACATATGAAATGTAAATAAAACATCCAATAAAAAATCACAGTCTCTTTATTTTGAAAAACATTTAAAGAAAATTTGCACTTATGTCTATCAGGGAAAGCGACCTACAGTGTTTTCTTTGGGTTGTACGCTGATCTATTTTTCATATCAGCATAATTATGGCTTTATAGAGCATGTTTATGGGTATCTTTTCCTTTCTGATTTGTGGGTAACTTTCAGGGGTGTTAATATTAGCTCTTCTTCAAAAGTTCACTATGATTTGGCAGTGAATCCATCCAGTTGTGGATTTCCTTGTGGGGAGTCTTAATCATTGCCTTCATCCCATTGAACATTATTGGACTATTAAATGATTTTATTTGCCTTGCTCTCCTAAAGCCCTAGGCACTGAGTTTTGCACTCCATTATAGTGGAGTAGACTTGACCCTTCTGCAGCCTGTTTTATTAACATCAGTGATAATGGTTTATGGCTTGAACCACATAATGAAACAGAAGCACGAAGCCTATTGTCATTATTGCTTAAATTGAAGGGACAGAGTGGGTCAATAGATGGGTATTCACATAGTGTGGTTTGGTGCACTAAGCTAGTTATGATTTGTTATTATTTTTGTTTTATGACCTGTTAAAATAGCATTGCTCTTTAGATCTAATTATGAAGGATATATTTCTTCACCTCTATATTTCTGAAGTCACACCTTGGTCATCTTCTGGTTTTATATCTCTCTATAGGACCAGGGATCTATGAAAACAGGGCTCCCATTCTGTTAGTCTATGCCCCGTGTAGCTAATATCTCTATTTTCCAGTCTGCTTCTAGAGGCCACATGCTGCTTTTGAGATGGGCCACCCTTGGTAAATCTGACTGCAGGGTATAGGCTCTCAGAGCTAAGTGTGCTTGCATGCTCAGAATACGACTTAGGGCTTTGTCTAGGAGATAGGCCAGGGACTAGAGTGGGAACAGAAATGGGAAAGAATGGTCACATCATTGTTTAGATCTTTAGCAGTTTGAGTGTTCTAAAATCCATTCTACTCGCTCAGACCTTTATTAATATTGCATTAAAAGGATAAACTATTACATAAAATATGTTGGGATTGGGAGGGGTTGCTTGGTTGTTTTGTTGTTCTTTTTTCAAGACAAAGTTTCTCTGTGTAGCCCTTACCATCCTGGAACTTGCTCTATAGACCAGGCTGACCTTTAATGGGATTAAAGGCATGAGCCACCACCACCAGGCCCACAAAGCGTGTTTTATTGGTTGATTTGAATGTGGATATTTCCAACTGATCTCCAGTTCTAACAATCAGCTAATCATCTGACTAGCCAGACTAAAGAAATAGTTGTTAGAACTCTTTTGCTTCCTTCACTGTGTGCCGTGTATTTTTTTTTGCATGATCCTAGTAGCTCCATGATGGTTCATAAGCCCATCTTTCTATAAGACTTAGACTAGTCCTCAAGCTGGCTAAATTATAGCCACCATGTGCCATGTCCCTTCTCCCACTGAACAGTGGCACACTTGGAGGTCATCAGCTTTTGTCAGCAACAGCAGTGTAGAGACTACTTCTATACAAAGCAACCTCTTAAAATATGTCTCCAGTAATAACCTTCAGTCTGAGTTGTCAATATTCTATTTCCCTCTCTCATTTCCCATAATGAAATGGATTACAGAACAACCTTTATTGAATTTATTTGCTTTGCATTAACCCAAACAAAGAAAGCTAAAAAGAAAAAAGAAAACTTATCAGAATATATTTCTAGGAATTAACAAATTAACCTTATGATTAAAACCTAAGTTTTCTTAGTAGTGGAAGAAATATTATAAATGGGGAGTTCTCAAAGTGAGAATGATGTAATGGAGGTATAGGCAAAATGGGGAAGGGAAGTGTTAGAGCTGATATACTGAAATTATGTATGTTAAGGGCATTGATTTAAACAAACTATTCACTATGGTAATATAAATGGAATGAAATCCAGTCAATAAAAACCTTAATACTATCAAAAGGGCAAAGCTATAGGATCAAAATAAAGAGGTGTTTTATAGATTAAATGAAAAAATCCAGCATATTGTTGTATAGTGTCTCATGATACCATCATCAGCAAAAACCCAGCACCAGTTATTTAAGCTAGCTATAGAATCTCATTGCCTCTCTAGATTTGGTTTTGAATGTAGAAGTATCCAACATAGATGTTCAAGGCTGTATCTCTGTTTAAGCAAAGCAAACACCAAGTGACAGAAGTAGATGTCCTTTGGATCTAGGAAAATGATCCTAGGTTTGCTGTTAAGACATCTAAAGGTGGCTTTCTCATAATGTTTGCTAGACTTGAGAGATAGAATAAATGAGGAGAATTTAAAAATGGAAAGGTTAATTAAGGTGGGGAAAACCCACCCACTTAGGTGACACTATTCCCTAGGCTTGGATCTTGGACTATATATATAAAAGGGAGAAAGGGAGTTGAGGACTAGAATTCATTACTTTCCATTTCTTGCCTGGAAAAGCAATGTGACCAACTTTCTCAAGTTTCTGCTGCCAGGAATTCCCTGCAGTGATGGACTATACATTTGAATTCTACCAAAATAAGCCCTTTCTCTATTAGATTGATTTTATCAGAGAATTTATTACAGCAACAGGAAAATTATCTAAGACTCTGAGTTACACAGTTTCCTCTGCCCTAAGCCTGGAGCCAGAGAGGAAGATCACTCCCCAGAGGCAGCAGACACACTAACTAGTGAACTATCCACCTGCCTGGTGGAAAGTACATCCATTCCCTGGGCTAAATCACCTAAATCTTTTCACTAAAATAATTTGATTGAAATAAATGGCAATTTTTTAAGTTGCTGAAGCAAAATATGGTTGTTTGTTTTCTTTAAAGGCACAATGTCTAAAGCTAATGATTTTACAATTCTGTAGCATAGCTTTTCTGGAGAACATGCTGGGTTTGGTGATGTTGGTAGTGAGTTACTGAGGGTTAGACGTTAATAGAATTTATTTCATTCAAATAATTAAAATGTTAATTCCTATTTCTAAAGTTATTTTCCCTAATAAAAGCTAGCCCTGTCAAAAGTATTATATGGAATTACCATAGCTACTGGCAATTATTACTGAAAATGCTGATGCTCCATCCAGGAGCTATTTATTGCATGATATCTGGCATTTGGCTCCATGCTTGGGCTTTCTTCTTGGCCATTGAGAACCATTCAGGCTCCTTAGGTTCTGGTAATTTGGGTGGAAGACTTGAAGATCGTCTGGTTTCTCTTTCCCTGGTATATGGGTGAAGTATCTTCTGATAATCAAATGCAACTAGAATCATAGCAAACAACACACAAACAATCAGAAAACCCAGAGACACTGGAATATGTTTAAAGCTGAAATTAAGTGGACCATTCTTTCAGGTTTTTGTCTGATCACCCAGTACTTTAGTATTTTCCAACCAGTGTTCTCTTAGAAGTCACTGTTCTAAAAGTCATTGCTTGGACAAATGCCACAATAGGTATGTCCAGGAATGGCATCAACATGGATATGGCCATAGAGTCATAATCATGGGAAGGGATGTGAGGTAATACTTGCAGTGAAACAGCCAAAAATGTTTTTTGTTGCTATTTGAGACAGGGTTTCTATGCTTAGCCTTGGCTGTCCTGAAACTCACTCTGTAGACCAGGCTGGTCCTGAACTCAAAAATCCTCCTGCCTTTGCCTCCCAAGTGCTGGGATTAAAGGTGTATGCCACCACCACTGACAATCCATAACAACCAATCTTTTGACTTTTATTATTTGAATATCTTATACTTTTGAACTCACAACTAAAGAGAAACATTATACCTATTCCTTTTTAATTTAAGATCTGTTTTAGCAATCACTGACATTGTGAAATTAAATGATTGATGACTCAATAGTACTATCTAATAAAAGCCTAATAATCGGCCAACTACTCTGCTTCCCAACTCCACTGCCTCCCTCATCCTGCTCTATGGATGATGAGCCTAACTCAATGTTTTTGACTAAAACAATGGTTTTCTATTCTAATTACATATTGGAATCACCCAGGAATTTTTTTTAAAAATACTAATGTATCTGGGTATGATGGCACATGCTTGTAATCCCAGCATTTAGGAGGCTGTGGCAGGAGGCCTGGGAGTTTAATGCTCTATATTGGGCAAAAATCAAATGACAACTACAACAACCAACTAACAAAGACACACACACACACACACACACACACACACACACACACACAAATAGCAGTGCTCATACGATTTCTTGAACTAATGGAATAAGTAGGATGGTGTCAGGGTCATCTATCATTTACAAGCTTCCTAGTGGTTCTACTGTTCAGGAGAGTTGAGAACCACATTTCAGGAATAAGCTCACAAGGCATGGAGCAATGTGATGACTGCTATTTCCACAGCCAAATAATGAGTTCCTGAGTCCCTACTCTTTTTTTTTTTTTCATGAAAGGGATTAATGGCGAAAACAAAGAAAGCTGAATATAAAGCCATCCCCATTCCTTCAGCTTCTGCTGAGGAAATCCCTCTAGCACATAACTCTCAGTGATGAGGTCACAGTGTATGGTTTCCTGTCACATTTATTTGCAGCTGTCAACAAGCATTTTCAATAGTTAAAAATAAATCAATAGTACTAGGCCTTTGCAATGGATTTTTATCAACAGTTTCATTGAGGATAGAACAAGTGAAGACATATTGCTTTGCTATCAGCTAGAAAGTGACTTGGTCCTTTCTTCTTCTCCCTAACAACAAGAATGTTTTGTGCCTTGCCTTGAAAGCTGCTTCGTCAAGGTGGAAGACTAGACAGGGATATGGAAATTTACACACTGGACTTAGATGTAACAATTAGATTTTCTTAAACTAAGTTGATATCTGCTGCATTTTATGGAAGAGACGTGAAAGAATCATGAAGCTGATTTAGAAGTATTTTGAGTGAACTTGAAATTGCAAAAACATTTCACCACATTCCTCCATGGCTATTTTTGACAGGTCAGAATGAGTATTCTCACCTGATTTTGTAAACCGCCTTAACTGTGGCATCTCATGTCCGGGGATGATGGAAAGAAAAGTCATCTTTGGCGCAATATCAGTTATGGGCCCAGATTCCTGCAATATCAAAAAGGAAATTAAAAAGTTTATAAGTCCTGACAAAAAAGACAGCAAATTTCATAGACAATTTCATGGTTCAAGCCCTGGCCTGAGTACTATGAGTTCAACAGTAATCAGAAGAAAAGAGATATAGATTTAGGATACGATATTGATGCAGAAGTATATATCTGGATAGAAATATATAAGTATAGAAATTAATTATATAAAATCATAACAAAAGTTAGCACAAAGCTCCTTGATCTTAGAATACATCCATCCATGCATACATGCATGCGTACAATTTAATGATTTATTTGGAATATATTATTTAATAATTTTTTATTTTTATTTTATGTGTACAAATGTTTGCATTTGTTATGTTATGTGTATTGCATCCCTTGAACTGGAGTTAAAGATGATCATGAGCTACATGAAATGGATTTAGCCCCTCTCCCCTAATATATGTAACAAATATGAAGCTCAGTTTTCATGTGGGTCCTGAACAACTGGAGCAGGGGCTATCCCAAAGCTGTTACTTGTCCATGGGATATGTTCTTCTAGGAGGACTGCCTTGTCTGGCCTCAATGGGAGAGGATTGCCTAGCCCTATAGAGACTTGATGGCCCATGGTGGAGGAATACCATGGAGTCTTCCACCTGCTCAGAAACGGGGAAGGAGGATGGGGGAAGGATCATGGTAGTAGGTGACCAGGAGGGGAGCAGTGAGTGGGATGTAAAGTGAATTAAATAAATAAAAAAGAAAGAAAGGTGGATTTTTTAAAAAGATGGTCATGAGCTGCTGCTATGTGGGTTCTGGAAACTGAACCTATGTCCTCTGTAAGAGAACCCAGTGCTCTAACCACTGAGTAATCTCTCCTGTCTCATAACTTATATTATCAACAAAACCCAAACTGACTGGTTTGTGACCCTTCTTTCAGACTTAGAAGAAAAGTTATCTAGTTACACAGATAGTATAAACAGATTGAAATAAGATTATCTTTTGTCTATAAACTTACCACCCTGACTGCTTATCTCTGCTGATCTCAGAAGCTAAGCATGGCCAGACCTGGTTATTACTTGAATGGGGGAACAACCTTCTCTCTAGCATTGTACCACCTCATAGCTGTGAGCTTGTTATGGTCACATATAAAGCTGATCAGTCGGATGAAGTGAGCACTTTAAGATTTCTATCTTCCAGCATTTGTTGCTATATGACTAGAAGTGCTTTTTCTGCCAAGAAATGGTGTGGCTGTATGGTTTTAGGCCTTTAAAGTTGATCTCTATACAACTGTTCTAAGCCAAAATGTTTACACACACAAGGTTATTTTCCCCTGACAAAAAAGGTAACCAGAGTGGGCTTTATCCTTTTATGATTCTCCTTCCACTTAAACACTAACAACTAAAAAGGGAAAGCTCTTTAAAGAAAAAGGTTAACCACACCACATATTTTCCTCAAAAAATTTAGCCAGCACTTAGAATCATAGAATTTCAGATCTAGCTTTTGATATGTAAATGAAATGTGCTTTCTTGAGGTCCATTTTCTGCAGATTTTCTAAGAAGAAAACAAGGCAACATGCATCATTCCATCATCCTTGATTCTCATGTCTAGCTCATCCTGTAGCATTTTAAAATCTGCATGTAGGTGTGAAACCAAACCAAATTGGTACATAGAAATGCAAATATGGACACCTAAACATACATGTTTAGGGACTGATATGAAAAGTGTGCATAATGAAAGTCTGGATGAAAAACAGATACCTTTTGCCTATGATTTCTCTTCCCAGTTTTAATAATTCATGGTCAATTTTAGTCTAAAAATGTTCAATGAGAATTTTCATAAATAGTTGATAAACTTTACATTGAATGCCCTATCTAGCAGCATAGAATTCTCGTCCCTCCCCATACCCACCTGGCTGTGAATCTTCCCTTTGTCTAACATCCGTACAGTGTGTCCTGATGTCTCTTGCTTCTTACATAGCTGTCTTAAATGTCTGAGGCCTTGTGATTGTGCCATCATAGTGTCTGTGTTCAGGTAACCCTTACTTAACATAATAATACCCCAAAAGTGGAAGAATAATGATGCTAGCCATCCAGATACAAAAACGAGAAGCTATAAAATGCCCCCACTACATGAATAAGCAACAATCCTAAACTTACTAAGAAAATGTAAAAACACCATATGCTGAGGTTGCTACAATCTATGGTAAAAACAAATCTAATTTTACAATTGGGAATAACTACTTACTTTGAGCTCAAATTTTAAAAGTTAGCAGCCACAATGTATAAGTAATGAGTCAAAATGAAAAGGACATTCAATTACAGGGTTCTTTACTATGTGAAGCCCAAGCATCCACAGAGAACCTTATAAAGTATTCTCTGTGGGTAAAGGGGCCTACTGTGTTTATAGTTTGACTCTCATTTATGAAAATCATATGCATGTACTTGAAGACTATAGTTGCTCAGTTTTTACCCTGCTGGTTATGTCTGTTGTTGTTGCATTGTTGTTGTTTGTACTAATAGGACTATTGTTGTCTTATCTAACTCTGCAATCAATTTCATGGAATACTGCTTTAGCATATTTATGGCGAGGTTTGATTGATAGACTCTCCTCACTTATATTAGCTTTCATAGACCTTGTAAGAGTATCAAGGCAAGACATATTTGTGTGAATGCAAAACAAAGACCCTTAAATTGTCCTTCATTAATGCTCCCAGTAAGAGACAGTGACTACATGTCTGTCATAATTCCCAGTGCAAGTTTAATCAATGGCTCCACTAACCTTTGGCAGAATTTCCAACTGTGGTTCATATTTTACCTCATATCTAGGTTCTTTGGGCTCAGCCCTAATTTCAGATTTGGACCTGGATTTTTTAGGAAAGTGGGATCCAAGGGCCCTTTGCCGCTGTTTTACCATGGTGATCCAAGGTGGCTCCAAAGAGGAATCTGCCTTCCAACTAGAGGTCTTTTCTGAGAAATAAATAAGAAGTATTAGTATTAGAACTGACGCCAGGCAGAAAGGATCATCAGTCTGGTTGAGGTTAACCATAATAGTCTTCCAAATGGGATCCTTTTGTTGGTTGCCAAGCAAAAATAAGTAGATACCAAGTAGAGAAGGGCCATTCTCTTTTGTACCCTTCCTACAAACTGAGAAGTCAGGGATTGAGTAGTTAGAATAGCTGCACATTAAAATGGGCATACTATCACTTATTGGACCCTTTATTTCCTTTATCCATCCCTCTTACCATCACCAAATCAGGGGAAAACAATGCTTGACAGGTAGGCTGAGAAAATTCTCAAGATATCAGAGTCTCAGACCATTGATGGAACCCCTCCAACTCTAAGAAAAATCTTACAGAGTCTGTTCCTTCTTCATCCCTAGTGCAAATATCGTGGTGAAATAGGTGTGATCAGAGGCAAAGACACCACTCTGCAAGGATGAGTCTGAGGACACAATGTTTTTAAGAAGGAGTAGCACTTACAAGGTCCCCTTGATCTGAATTAAATTAAGATGGTTTCAGGGTAAGAGTGTAAACATATTCCTCGTAATGAACTCAGTTTGGGAGTTGTGTTTGGCAGGTTACAGTGACATGATGTGTGCAAAGTTTTTTAAAAAAAAAATGCAGAATTCTGCCCAAAGTATGCTATGCATGAGGTAGAAGGAGAAGGAAGAAGCGGTATCATGAGTCTATTAATGAAAAGGGAATGGATCTTCAGACTGCTGCCTCCCTGGGAAAAGAAAGATTCCAAAGGAGTTACTTCTGAATGTATTCATCCAGAATTGGACACTATCTCACCTCTAAATCCACAACCAACCCTGCCAAAGCAACAGTACAGTTGGAAGCCTAGAGGCTAGAGCATTCATGGTCCATTCATACAAGGTCTTGCCTTACCTAGACAGACAAAACTCTCACCTGGAGGCCTGTAAACTGCTGACTTCTTCAAAGTGCCTTCATATCTGGGCCTGTTCCCTTGGTTCTCCTCAAAGGTAAATGCTGGGCTGGGCCTGTTCCCTTGGTTCTTCTCAAAGGTAAATGCTGGGCTGCACCTCTCTGGGCCTCTGCCTGAGCCCTGGAGAGCTTCTTTGTTTGCCTGTTCTTTGCTTGCTGCAGATGAAACTGGGGCAAGTGGCATGCAAGGGTCTGGATTCTCCATTCCAATATTCTTTGAGATTCTTCGCAGCCGCACTCCAAAAACATTTTTGACATCAGCCTTGCTGGTGGATAGGAGTGAAGAACTTTCACTTACATCACAACACTGAGGAACCTCATCCTTAAAATAAGTGTCCATGGGAACAAAAGATTTCTGGGCAGGAGCAGAAGCGAACATGACATGTTTGGTAACACAAGTTGGGGTGCTTTTAGTTAAGTCCCCATAGCCTTGTCCGTATTTCACATTTTTGGTTGAAGCTGGGCCTTTCAGCATGGGCCAGCAGCCAGTATTCTTCTCAGGAATGGCTCCTTCAGCAGCAGCATTGGCAGAGTCTACATAAACTTGTTGCTGATAGTCAGTAATAAAGAACAACTGAGTAGGCTTACCAGGAGGCTGATGGCCCTCACGAATTCTCCACTCCATAGGCACATTTGCTGAGTCCGCTGGTAAAATCGATGGCTGCAACTCAGCTACATCGAAGGTTTGAGAAGGCTGTGTGGAAGGCAGCTGTCCTTCAGACCTCTTACACTCATCTGGAAAACTGACAGAAACTGAGGCTTTCTGCTTGTACTCAAGCTTCCCCAGGGACTGAGAGACATCCCCGGCAGAAGTGCTCCACTTCACAGAGGCACCCTCAGAAAATGGCAAAACTTCTTGAGGCTCTTCTTGCCTTCTGGACAACTGTAAACGCTGCTTCGTGGGCAGATTCTTCAATGTGGTATCTTTCTTGGGTTCATCATCCCAGTTATAGAACAAAAGATGCTCCTCCAGTTTAGACTTCAACAGGGATCTGGAAGGACGGCTTCGGCCCCGAGGAATGGGCTTTGCATACATGCTTAATTCACTAGGGCCACTATCTGAAAATACTTGCTGGGCCATGAATTTCACAAAGGACTGGGAAGGTGCCCTGACATTCTGTGGTTTCTTGGAGCTGTGTTGAGCGGTAGCACTCTGTAGACGCGAGGACATTTCCTGAACTTTAGATTTTATTGCGAATGAGGTGGGACGTTTGGGAGGCACTGGGCGCCGAGGAACACCTCCCTCCGTAGAGGTACTCTCAAAGCTTGAGGGTGTTTTCTCAACTTTATGTTTGATAATGGTTTGGGAAGGATGTCCGGAAAGCCAGGCCTCCCTCAAAACATCCCTCTCCTTGGCAACACCTTCTAGACTTGAGACTTGCTGCTCAAATTCAGAGCCCAACCAGAGCTGAGGAGCATACTTGGGAGGCATTGGCTCCATGGGAATGCTCCGCTCTCCAGAAGCTCTCAGAGAATCTGGGGAAACTTCTTTCTTGAATTCTGAGGTCACTGGCGGCTGGGAATGCTGCCTTCTAGGCCTCCTCAACGTAGCACCTCTTTCCTCTGCTACATAGTGCTCTGGATCTCCTCTTGGCTGGAAGGGGAATCTGGAAGGCAGTAGCTCCAGAGAGCTGCTCTGTGGCACAGAAACATTCAGTAACTCAGTAGAGGTTGATTGCTTGACAACTGATCCCATCAAGGGCTGAGAAGGCATTCTGGGAGCTGGTGAATCAACAGGAGTGTTCCATGAAGCAGCAGCAGCATGGTCTTGAGATACAGAGCCTTGTTCAAATGGCGTGCTCTTCCATGACTGCAAAGAGTACCTAGAAGGCTTTGGCTCTACAGGGATCATCTGCTGTACAGATGGGTTCGTGGGTCCTCTGGAGACTGGTTGCTTGACTACTGATCCCATCAAGGGCTGAGAAGGCATTCTGGGAGCTGGTGAATAAATAGGAATGGCCCATGCAGAAGGAACATTGCCTGGAGGAACAGATATTTGTTCAAAGGTAGGTGTCAGCCATGGCTGCGGAGGACATCTGGGAGGAACTGGCTGCATAGACATGCTCCCTTGGGCCTCAGGGTTATCTGGACCTACAGGGACTTGCTTAAATTTAGGGTTTGCTTGTGTTTGGAAGACATGTTTAGTAGATGTTGGCTCCATGGGGCTGCTCCATTGGGTGGAAGTGTTCACTGGATCTTGGGTCATCACTGGCTGGAATTTGGGTGTCACTGAAGGCTGAGGAGGCCGTAGATCCACTAAAATGGCACCTTCTACAGAGGTGCTTTCTGGGACTGGTTGGCTTTGATGACTTGGTAAGGGATGAGTAGAATATTTGGAGTGCAGTTGGCCCATGGAAATCATTTTAGCAGCAGCAGTCTCGGATTCTAAAGACACTTCTTGATATGGCTGTAGCATAGGCTGGGCAAGGTTCTGAGTCATATGCTCCATAGAAGTGCTTCCTTCAAATGCTGTGCTCTCTGGAGTGGAAGAAAATGATTGCTTTCCTGGAGACTTCATCCATGGCTGGAACTGTGTTGGAAGCTTTGGATCCATAGAAATACCTCTTTGAAAAGCAGCTACCTGTTGCTGGATGAAGGGTTTCAATACTGGCTGAGAATGATGCTGAGGAGGTGGGGACTCCAGAAGAGTACTCCCCTGTAGTGCAGCACTTTCTACACCAAATGATATTTCTTTCTTGATGCTTGGTCTCACTGAAGGCTGGGAAGGATATCTGGAAGGCTGTGCAGCAATACTCTCTTCAAAAACAGTAAGTTCTGGACCTGCAGAAACTTCTTGCTCAAGTCTTGGCCTGGTTGGGGGCTGAGAATGGTGTCTGAGAAGCTTTGTCTCCATAGAAGCCCCCTCTTCCATGTTTATAATGTCTGCACTGGAGGGGACATTTTGCTCAACATGGTATCCCTTCAAAGCCTTTCTAGGGGACACTGGCTGCATAAAAATGTCCCAGTCAGCAGTAACGCCTTCTGGCTCTGCAAACACTTGATGTTCAGATGGAGAGCTCGCCCACAATTCAACAGTGTGGCTGGGAGGCAGTGGCTCTACAGATTTGTTTGGTCCTACAGAAATGTTCACCATGATGGGAGGTTGTTGCTGAGTAGTTGAACTTATAATAGGTGGAGAAGTGTGTATGGGACGCACTAGCTTGGTGGGAGCAGTCCACTGTTTTAGAGAACTCTTTGAAACTGGGGACACCTCTTGCTGCTCTTCCACTGAGCTGCTCAGATCCTCGGAACTGTGGTATTTCTCAACATAACTACTTGATTCTGTGGAGACTTCCTTTTCCTCCAACTCTGGCAAGGCCTGGGAATGGCGCCTGGGAGATGGCTGCTCTTCAGAGACAGAATCTCTGGTGAAACTTCTTGATTCTGAGCATTCTTCAAACTCTTCCAATGACTGGGAAGAGTGGGCAGATGTCATTTCCTCACAACTTTTCGAGCCTTCTGAAGAGCTCTGTTGTTCTGAGGCTTCTCTAGCTTTGGGTTTTCCTAATGACTGGGAAGAATATCTGAGAGGCTGCTGCTGCTCCATCTTGCTCAGCTCTACATCTACAGTTTCTGATTTGAGGAAGACATCATCATCTTCATCTTCATAATCTTCTTCATCATCGTCTTCATCATTATCTTCATCTTCCTTACCATCAGCACCATCAGCACCATCAGCACCAGCATCAGCATCATCTTTAGGCTTCCATGTAGTCTGTAAAGAATGTGTAGGACCCAGTTGCACTTCAGAACTACTCTCATACTCTGAGGTACTCTTTGAATCTGAGGAGATTTCCTCTGCATTTGGATACTTTCTGGGACAAACAGGCATCATCTGCACAGAAGAAGCATCATCTTCTGCAGTAGCACTTGAAACATTTGTAGAAAGGGTCCGGACACCACTTTGGGGATTCTTCTCTTTGTGGTAAGTTGTGCTCTCCAAGGATAACTCCATTTGGGGTTGAAACGTTTGCAAACTAGGACTGGATGCTTCTTCCTCTTCTCCACAGACTTGAGAAGGATGCATATGCACTTGGGCCTCTTCTTGGCTTGTAGACTTTCTTATCCACTGCAACACAGTAGCTTTGTCCTTTTTCTTCTTGCCTTCAGGAAGCCCATGTTCTTGGCATGGTAGTGGACTCACGGACTTTGCCACATCTGTAGATGTACATTGTGGTGCTGGTGCTCTTTGAGCTTCAACATCTATGTTGGCCAATTCCTCCTCTGCATCTCCTTTTTCTGAAGGCATCTCCTGAGGACTAGTAATTTCTGCTTCTGTAGTTGTGGACTGCCCTGTGCTTTTCTTCTCCAGGAAAAGCTTCAAGAAAGAGTGTTCCCCGCCAGGTATCTCTTCATTAGCTGAGGACTCAACTTTAGTGCTCAGGCCATACCCTTGAGTGGATTTTAGAAGACCTCTTTGAATGATACCCCACTCATTTTTGAACCTTCTTCTACATCTTCTTGGATTGAATCCTAAACAGTAGCCTGAGGCAGCGTCGATACTTTGAGTCTCATCTTCTGTCTTATCCTGAGTTTCGGTTTTGTAGCTCTGCTCCTGGCTTGAGAGTCCTGCACCAAATGTAAAAAGGAATGGAGAAATGTGTGTACTTTAGACTTCCTAAAAAGAGTGCTATGTTTGCCACCAAATTCCATGGTATGAAGAAGCAACTGTGCAAGGGACATTGCCTTGTTCACTGTTAGCTTTAAGCTATGGGGAAATGTTCAAATCAAAGGGAAATTTCAGTCCTATGAGCAGATAGGCTCATTAGCACTTTATCAGTAATCTGGCCGACTATTTGAAATGAGATTCAGAAAGAGGCAAATTATGATCTTGCAACAATGATTACACATTTGAAAAACATGACTGGAGCAGGTGCAAGGGGAATTCATATGTGTGTGTGTGTGGCTATTTTGCCTGCATGTGTGTCTGTTCTCCATATATATGTCTGATGCCTGGTGCCTGTGAAGGCCAGAAGAAGGCCTCAGATCCTCTGAAACTGGAGTTACAGATGATTGTGAGTCTCCAAATGGGGAAATTAAGCCTGGGTCCTCCAGAAGAACACCAAGTGCTCTTAACCTCTGATCAGTCTCTCTAGCCCAGGAGGGAACTTTTAGCTTTCTAATTAGTAGTTTTATTTTCTATATAGTACTTATCTAACTTATTGAAATTCTGTATTATATGGATTCATGCTCCCTCCGCCCCCCTCCTCCTCAAAAAAATGTCAAAGGAATCATTTGAGAGGTTAGGATTATGATCCCTTTTTTTCCATTTTCTACCTTCTTGCCTTAAAACAATCCTGCATAACATGTAAAGCAGTTCTTTGAGTACATACAAGGCAGTACTCCCAACACCCAGGCAATTACATCCATGTGAATGCTCCGCTCAATTCTTTTCCTAAGCAACTCAGTTTGATCTTAGTGGCAGAGCCCTAGCTGCAGTTCCTTCTCACAGACGTTGTCTGTAGCACCACCTAGTGGTTTCACATGCTATATACAGCAGAGAAGAGCTAGATATGCTTTCTCAATTAGGCCCTTCTTTGCGGATGAGCAATCAAAGTACCCTACAAGTATTGACTCCGTTCTATCTCCATGTATGAAAGGGACGACTGTGTAATTGACATTATTCTCTTAATCTGTGTTCCCTCCTTAATCCCTCTTGTCCTTTCAAAGACTGTTTTTAGTGGTTTTTTTTTTTTTTTCTTTTCTGGGAAAGAGTACAACCTTAAGGAAGTCCTATCTTTGAAATCACATGCAAAATCATTTGTGGAAAAAAAAACCCTGACAACCATTCAACTTAATTGATGGAACCAAAATTTAATTTTGTCAAACACTGCATGAAATTAGCTTGCCATCTAGCTGAAGTTAAAAATCCATCTGTGCACACAAACAAACACACAGAGACTTTTTCACTCTGGCAGTATTTGTTTGGCATTGGTTAGATGATAGCTGCCAAGGAAATCTGCCTGCAGCTGTGCAAAGCTCTGGTAGCCATGGGTATATGATGCCATTGTGAGCACAGACTCTCTTCTCTATACTGGAAGAGAAAGATAACTCCTATAAATTAATTATTGGGGGACAGGTACTTCAGTTGTTCCTATTTTGTTATGCTATTGAAGAATACTGAATAGGCCATTATTACTTGCCCTCTGCAGAACTCAGCAAGCATACTAATTTGAAAGAATTAAACATGTCTCCAAACAAAGACTTCTCTGGTTGGAAATTGATTTAGATCGGATATAAAACCACAAAGCCTGTACAAATGTTTTGCCAGTTTAGGTGGAGATTATAGGACTGGACTTGTGTGAACCTCTTTCTAATTGAAAGTTTTGTTTTTGTGAATTTTAAATTATGTGTGTGGGTATGTATCCCAGAAAAGGTCCTCAGCCCTTTTCACAAGTGAGCTAGACGGCAAGCAGAGTCACACAAAGTCTCTCACAGTGGAGCGCTTGCCTCTCTGGGCTACGGTGAGATGTCCAGGGCTGTACATTGGCTTTTAGTACTTTTTAAATTATATGTATGCGCATGTGCAGAGAGGTGCCCACAGAAGCCACAGGTGTCAGATCTTCCTGGGGCTGGAGTTACAGGCAGTTGTGAGCTGCTTTGCTTGAGTGCTGAGGACCAAACTGAAGCCCTCTGAAAAACAGTAACCTCTTAGCTACTAAACCCTCTCTCCATCTCACTTGTGTGCATCCAACACTCCAAGAGAAATTCCAAGAGAAAACTCCAAGAGAATTCAGGGTAGCAGCCCTGGGGACATGTTTGTTTATAACACCCAAATAAACTCCATTGTGCAAAGATGCCCAAGATCCACTGCGTGGCAGCGAATGTTTGCTAACCTGTACTGTCCAGACTCTCCTTTTGTTCAGCTTGTTTTGTCTTGGTTATAGTCTTCTCTTTGAATGTCACTGAATAGACTTGTTCCTCCTGCTTTACTTTGACCTGAAACAAAGTTGTGTTTTTTAGGACAGACAGACAGACAGACAGACAGACAGACAGACAAGACAGAGGCAGAGAGAGACAGATAGACACACAGAGGCAGAGAGAAAAGGAGAGACAAAGAGAGAGAGAGAGACAGAGACAGAGAGAGAGAGAGAGAGAGAGAGAGAGAGAGAGAGAGAGA